ATTTATCCCCTCGGAGGCGACCTTTCGTAAATATATGTTCATATGCACTCTAAATGTTCAAATATATGTTCTCGAAATTTTCAAAAAGATTCTTAGGAAAACAAACTTGCCCCATGGCTCAGATCATCGGTGAACATTGAATCGGAATATCATAGGATTTGAACTATCCTGAAACCATAAGAGGCTCACGAAGACGCTCCGCAGGAGAGAATTGACGTGCTTCACAAAACAAACTCTAGGTATGTATCCCCTCGGGGAATACCTTTCCTGATTAGAATTTCATATTCACTCTTTCTAAATGTTCAAGAGGGTTTCAACAATCCTGAAATCATGAGAGGCTCATGAAGACGTTCTCCAGGAGAGGGGGGTGGTCTGTATTGAAAAATCAATCCCAAGGGGGCGGGGGGGGGGGGCGGTTTTGGAAAAAAAAATTGGGGGGGGGGGGTCTGAATTGAGCGATTAATTATTAGACCCGGACGTCCCAACACTTGCTTCGCAAGACAAACTCAAGGTATCCCCTAAAGGGCTACCTTTCGTGATTTGCCGTGCACTACAAAGATCATGTCCATGGTCTTGCCAATATCGGTAGTGGACGAGGTAGATGCAATTTTTGTGCCCGAGAGTACAGGGACGTCAGAAGTCATGATTATGGAATATTTTTCCAATTAGCAATTATGATGGGACAAACATTCCAACCAGAATTCTTCCCCATCATGCCGGTTATGACGAAAACCTCGCGCGCCAATAGTGACACACCCCAGCACTGCTCGATTCTGGCTGCACCTTCACAACTCGTGCCAGGAGATCTTCAAGCAATTTCCAGCAATTCTCCGAGGTCTGCACAGCCACCAGAGCCAGACATTCGTATGATTGACGCTCTAAAGAGGACCAAACAAGCCCTTTTTGCACGCAATGTTTGTCAGAGCCGCTTTTTAATATCCATCGGACTTGAAAGACACATGCAATCCCATAACATGAATGACACACCCCCTGACCAGGTGGTGCATAGAGCGTCCAAGATTCCAAGACTTGACATTGTTCAGGCGGTGCTTGCACGGCCTGCCCTCTTTGCCTTGAGATCATCGGACGTAAGGGTTTGACGAACCACTTTCGTAAAGATCATCAGGTGCATAAGCCGGCCTTCTTTGATTTTCGACCGAGCAGGGACATATTGCCTGACCGTCTTTCCTGTGTCCATTATTTGAATAATTTTTCCATTGAGGCTGTGCCACGTGCCCGATGTTACTGACGGAATGGATCAAGGACAGACATTTTGGGACAGCTGCACCGATCAGAGATCAAGAATCTGTCCTTGTTGAGAGCTTGATGCACCAGACTCTGTTGCCATTGTGGGCCTCTACCGATCCCCATCCTCCCAGCAGACAGGCCTCAATTTGGATTATTTTTGCCTTCGTATGCCGGTAAATGTCCCCTCATGGCATCCTGAGTTGACCACGGACATGTTGTTCTTGCCACGTGGCCTTTTGGAAGGGTCGGCTTTGCAGAATATACCACCGTTTTGGCCAGAATTCCGCCTTCGTTGGTTTGACACCTTCGCCCCCTGGATGGCATATATCCTTGAATTCCCACAGGTTATGTTGGAGGATGCACCGCAATTTCAGCTCCTGCACTTGTGCACAAGGGTGCATCCCATCTTTTGGGCTTGGACCTCAGATGAATGTAGCCTCATCCAAATCGATCAATTGATCTTCCATGACACCTTGTGGCAACAATTTCATCAATTACAGGCCTTGTTAATTGAATTAGAGCATGTTCTGGCCCAAGATTGGTTTCATTGTTGGATCTCATTTGGTTTGATGGATGGATTTTATGCAAGCCGACGATCAATCATTTGTAGATATCATGGAGATCTATGATCATTATTTCAAGAGGTCGCAAATGGAAGAGGAAGCCAAAACCGACCATCGTCGACCTCGCAACGGGCAGAGGCGACATTTGCGTTTATCGAATATTTAGGCAAATTCGATGAATATAAAAATAAATATATAATATATAATAAAGAATATAATATTGAATAATAAATATCAAATCGCAATGAATATTTAATTTATTTCATCAGCCCATATTCAATCGCAATAAATACTTCCGGACCTCAACAACAGATGCAAAATTACATTGAATTTTCCGGATTTCAATCCGATCGTAATACGCATTATTGAACCTTTATCACAATAAATATTGCCGGGTCTCATTCATCAATTCTACATCCATAAGAATGAAATCATTAATATATATATTTTCGGATCCCAATAATAAATAGTAATTTTTAATGATATATATCGATATAATATTTAAATATAATTAATAAAGAAAGAAATAAATCATAAATACCCCATCACAAAATTATTTCAATCACCCCAAAATCCACGATCATAACAATATATTCTTCATCCTAATATAAATATGCATAATTAATATATTATCAAAAATAAAATTCATATAACATATATAAATATATATATTTGCAAACTATATATATATATCTAATTAATATCATTAATAATAACATATCTGTCAAATCAAATTTTCTGTATTGTATATATCGTATTTACATAATTTCTATGATAAATATATATTAATTATTTAATTAAATACATAATTTATATATATTCCATGAAACAATTTATATATATAAATTTGCAAAAATATATAAATCGAATTTATATAGTAATTTTAAAATAATTTTGATTTATATAGATATAGATTATATACATATATCAATATTATTAAAATAAATATATTTAAATATAAATATATGATTAAATTCCAAAATTTCTTTTGCAAAAATAATATATTCGTCGCAATTCCATAGGAATTTATTTCAAAAATTCCTTTAAATTTCACCTCTATTCAAATCATAAAAATATTGAATATAAAAACATATAAATTACAAAAAAAATCTAACATAAATTATTAAAATACTAAAATTATTAATACTATTAATCCGAAATTCATATAATTGCTTCCAATTTTTATTGTTAAAAATCTTCAAACCGATATAATTAAGAAAAATAAGAAATGAATTCAAAAAATTTTACTAATAAATAAACAAACAATCGAAATATATATCGTCATCTAATACGATACTAACGCGAATTTAATCGTAACCTAATGCAAAATTTTCCGTGGATTTCTTTATCCTACTTGAGCGGGGAAACACGAAAGGTAGAGACGGACCGAGTAGCTGTCGGGACCTTTTCTAGTGAGGGACTATCTCCGGTGTTTCAGGAACGTGTCCCTTAATCAATCATGGATGAAACCAACAAAGCCAAAGAGCACAAGAAGGCATAAGAAGGCTCAAAAGGAACCCCCCGTTGCGGTCAGATTGCGCCACACGGCTCTGCAAAGAGGCTGCGTTGCGTCGACGTTCGTTTGTATCTAAGTGTGTATCTAAGTGTGGGAAAACAGACGTGCGTAAAAATCGTAATATATAAACGTTCGCATGTATACCAGTTATAGTCCCACAGCTTCACGCACTATATCAAGATTACAAGCCTGCACGCGTTACGTCGAAGCCACAATAACTCAATGATCAATGCCCTTGTAAAGATAATACTAGAGGGGTACGGCCGATATTATCAGAAATGGATATTATGCTATAATGGATATACTCCACGACGTAATAAAATTTTGCCATGCTAAGGTATAAGGTTAAATCAAATGGTGTTCCGCGATACGAAGGGTTTCTCCATAAGGCTTTACAAAGAGGCTATATTGCATCGATGCTCGTTAATATCGAACAATATGTTTTACGAACGCAATACGTGTTGTGTTAGGCTGCCGGATACGTACGCGCGATATCGAAGCTACATTACGCGCCATCATTGCATAAAATTCGTATTATATTACGTAACCTCATAGCCAGAATCGTATTACTATAACCCTTAAGCGCATAATTTCATCTTATATTCAAAATTTAATAATACTAACGACGAGAAGAAGGAACGAAGAAAAGAAAGGAGTAGAAAGAAAGGGAAAAAGAATCGAATCAATTAATTTATCACTTATTCATCACATAAAAAGGAAGAGGAAGGTTAAACATTAATATACCAATTTTTAGTCCCGAACAAACTCTCAAGCCAATCCCTTTGCTTCGCAAAACAAATTCAAGGTAGTCCTTACCAAGCTACCTTTCGTAATCTTTTTCTCAAATACTATTTTTCTTTTCTTATTTCTTCTGTTTCCTATTTTCTATTTATTTTTCTCCTATTCATTATCCTATTATATAAAAACCTAACGCTACCTTACTATATCACCATATTCTATTAGAAACCCCTTTCTAAACGAAGATTTAAAATTATATCTACAACCTTAAAAATTTACGTTTATCTATATTTTTTAAATAGAACGTAATCCATAAAAAAATATATCTAAATTCCAATCAATCAATACATTAATTCATAAATTATACGATTGTTTTGACCAATCTTCTATCCAAAATATCGATCGTATAAAAAATATCGGATTTCCGATAATTCGTCCACAATTTGCCTCAGGGCTACCATTTTATGCAATAACAATATGTTGTTTTTCAATTGTTGGCTTTAGTTCGTTTTTCATTCTTTTGCCTGACGGGTTTCATGTTTGTTTGAATTCGATGATTATAAATCATGATTAACACAACAGGCAGTCCTTGAGAATGATTTCCTTCGTTTCTTCTTTCGTCCTGGAAGTTTACAAATACAGCAAATGGGGAGCGTGTCCCATTGCAACGTTTGAATCTGAACATTCCACCGCCGCTGAGTGTTCCGAAAAAGCATGTGTTTATACATACTTGGTCATGGCCGCAGAGAGGCAGCCTGCGTAGGTCTCTTGTTTTTTGCTAGGAAAGTGTGGCTGAAATAGCTGGTTTTGTTGCACCTGGAGCCGTTTGACTCTCCCATGTGTGTCCTTTGATGCTGAAGCTTCTAGGTGCAAATCTAAAGGCATGCAAATGGGTGTGGTTGCCTCCGCACTTGTCTGCAGCAATATTACATAATATCACCAGAGCCGTGACCAGCTGACAAAGACTGATTTCCATCGGATTCAAACTGGCACCTCAGCATACTTCTTTTTAACGTGCCAATTCTCGGAAAGCATTCCACTTTGTCCAAACCCTTATCCATCAGTTAGCCACCCCCCATCCACGGCATGGTGGTCCTTTGGACGACTCCTCACCATCCATCTCCTGGGGTGGGAGGCACCGTTCGGGTTGTGTTCTCCAATGGGCGTGCGGTTCGGTGGATATCAAAACATATCAAAACCATTTGGGCCAAATCATACTTTCTAGACCCTGATTGAGGGCGATGGAGCTTCAGGTTTCTGCCTACTTCAGCTAGCTGAGGTGGACGCAAAAACTTCAAGAATTGATGTCTGGAAGTAGATGTAACAAAACAACAATAGCAAAACAAAATCTTGTTACATTCTTACACATGAGTCCTCCGAGACTTGTTGGTCCCTTGAATCACCTGCTTGTTTCCTCTCATCGTCTCTCGAAAAATAATGAACGATTCTAATCTGCCAAACAACCTAACAAACTGTGGTTCACTGAACATGCTGCAGCCTCTGCACCATCGTCAGAAAATCCTTCTTCAACCTTCAGCTCTCAATTCGACAAAGGAACCAGAAGGGCAGCAACATCGATGTTGGTTCCGTGCACATCAAAACCAATCTCCATGGCGCTTTCGATTGAGTGTGTGCTGTTCGTTCTGTTGCTTTCTGAAACTTCCATTCATGTGAAGTGGTCCTCGTTCTAATGTAGTTTGCTATTAGGTTGGAGGCCATCGCTACTAGAAACTAAAAAAATGAAAAGGAAAACGTTCCGTTTGCTTGTTCGGCCACTTCGCATCACCAGGCTAAGTTCGCGTCTTCGTCGGCCACTGTCTCTGCTGGCGCGTCGTCTGCACAGGAACGATCGGACAAATCGAAACAAATTTACTCTGTTTGTCGACGCGAAGCTGACAAGGACACATCGGATGATGATTAGAACACGGTCTTTATATTCTGAATTTATTGATTTTTCCCCACATCGCTATGTGGGGTTCTGTTTTTCGCTCTGCACCCGCTGCTCCATGCCCGCCACTCCTCCTCCTCAGCCGCCTCCTCCTCCACCACTCATCTTACTCCACTCATCTTACACAACTCATCTTACTCCACTCATCTTACACAACTCATCTTACACCACTCATCTTACACCACTCATCTTACACAACTCATCTTACTCCACTCATCTTACACCACTCATCTTACACAACTCATCTTACACCACTCATCACACACAACTCATCTTACACCACTCATTACACACTCATCTTCCACCACTCATCTTACACAACTCATCAAATCCTCTCATCTTGCACAACTCATCTTACACAACTCATCTTACTCCACTCATCTTACACAACTCATCTCACACCACTCATCTCATCTCACACTACTCATCACATCCACTCATCTCACACAACTCACCTTACACGACTCATCTCACACAACTCATTACATCCACTCGTCCGGTCGTGCAGATTTCGCCGCAGGCACAGCACTCTGTGAACCTGGAGCGCAAATTTCGTGGCAGGCGCAGTATAGAGCCTTCAGGAGGACTGGGTGGACGCGTGGTCGCCGCTGGGCCGCGGCTGCCTGTCGTGCAGATTTCGTGGCAGGCACACTCATCTTACACCACTCATCACACACCACTCATCTTCCACCACTCATCACACACAACTCATCACACGCCACTCATCACACACCACTCATCACACACCACTCATCACACACCACTCATCTTACACCACTCATCACACACCACTCATCTCATTCACTTTTATCGTCCAGTATCTTTCCGTCCTCTTTTCTTATCAGTCTCTACTTCTCGTTGATAGTTCTTACAAGCTTAACATGTGGGGTTATCCGGTCCTTTTATTCTTTGGTTTAACGAGGACATACAAACGCATCAACCCAAAATAGAGCCGGCAAGCAGTCCACGCCATTTTCTTCCATCAAGGAGTCTCACAGAATCAACTGATGTGTTTGGGGTACAAACCACTTAAATTGTAGCAATGTGATCAATTTGGGAGGCCCACTGGGAGGCCCCTTCTCTCTTTCGGGCCTTGCACATCTACCACCTCATCATCTTCTCCCTGCTCCTCCTCTCCCTCCTCCTGCTTGGAGTCCTCCTGAGAAGCAACAGAACATGAACTCTTCAACTCAGGGAGCTAGTGCAACCAATCAACCAGCTCCTTCTTTGCCTCTATCATTGCCTCACTTGACATCAAGACACAGTTCAGCTTTTGCTTCAGGTAGACCTGGCAGCTTGGAAACAGCTCATGATGAAAGCAATTCAGACTTCTGTGGATCCAAACTTGACTAGGACAGCTTTACTATGTGACGAGCGATTCTTCATGCATGATGTCTACACCATTGCTCATGCTGCATGCTGAAAGTCTCCAACAGCCCAAGAAACTTGAATGGGCAAGGCACTCTTTGCATCTTCTTTGGGTCACAAGATCACAAGTCGCAAAACATGGAAGGGTTCTCTGCGGCTATCTTTGGTCGCTTTTCTGTTCCTTTCCTTGCTAAAGAAGTTTCCAGTTTGAAAGAACTTCCCTCAAAGGTGTACAGAACAAACATAGCAGGAATACTCAAGGCTCGTGACATAGTGTCAATGGATGCGCTTCTCCCCGAGCCAATATGCATATGTTCTCAGCCGTAAACCTTTATTCGATACTATCTCATCATCTAGATGAAACTGCACATAAACTATAGCACATCATTCGCAAAAGACTTGAACACCTGTGACGTGAATTCAGACCATGCTCTCTGTTAAAGCCTCACGGCACAACGGTCCGGCCCACCCGGGAATCGCCTTTGTAAGCATCTGCTTGCCCGCAGTAGGGAAGACATAGGCGAAACGGCCAAGACCCACCGCAGCTAGAGCCTTCCCACCTGGAAGCGTGATACCCCTTCTTTTGTGAGCACTGCTTGCTCAGCTGGGTTGCGTTCGCTGGTCAAGATTGACTCTGTTCGCATGTAATCTGGCTGTGTGGCATGGCTGTCCACATTGGAATGGCTTCCTGACAAGCACTGCTGATGTTATTTATTGCAAAACTCCCCAAAGACCTTTGGAGACAGAACGATTAGCTACATATGCATTGGTTGGAGGTTCCTCTACTCTTGTGGACATGCACAAAAAAAAGCTGGTCTGTCTGGTCTGTTTGGACAAGGAGCTGCAATGCACATCGAGATCGCGGATCGCACCCATAGTCCCCCTCAGCTCAGGAATCATGAATAGAGGTGCAATGAAGGGATGGGGTCTTCTGGCCAAAGAATCAAATCAAACTTATACTTATTCCTACATCACTGATAGAATCTTGATAAACCTTGTCATTGCAAATCAAGTTTAAACTCTGCAGCTCCAACCGAAGGTCCTGGAATGAGTCACGACTTGTGTTTAAAGAAACAGCTCATTACATATCATTACTCAAACCTTTGTGAACACCGAAACATCTTTCTCCACCATCCGAGGACTCTGAACTGGCTAAAAATGGCTCCCCCCTGTAGGCTCTTGGCTTATAGCCGCGTCGGAACGGCAGCTCCTTGTTACGTTCGTTTTCGTCCTCTTGCTACTAGTAATGCCAGGAGTGCCCCTAGTAGCGTCCTTCCTCCGTTCGTAGCGATGCCCTTTGTTCTTAGTAGCTTCTAGTAGCGATGGCCTCCAACCTACATGCGATGGCCTCCACTTAATAGCATCCTTGTATAAGCAAAAAGGAAAACATAAATAGGATTGAATAGCTATGAACTTAGTTATGAATAGTTGCATGATGTTGCATGTGTCACTACTGCAACTCCAATTCTGAGGTTTGGATCTAGGTTTGAATCAAATACTTGACCCCGCAAAGGACGCATGCCGTTCATGACCCTCGGGGTGTCCTTGTTGGCCAGCTTCAGGTGAGCCCTCAGCTGGGGGCTCATACTGAAGGGACCCTTCGACCCTGCTCAGCTCATACTGTAATTTTCTGTGGTGAAGCATCATTGGAGACCACTCAGGCTGAGGAGACCACTTGCGGCCTGGTGGCACCGAAGCAGCTTCGCTCTTGGGCAAGTTCCGCAAATCATACCTGGTGACACTGGTTCCAGCAGCATGTGCGACGCAAGTGAACAAGTCAAGTGACCAAATCAGCCTACTGGCGGTACTAGCGCTGCTAGGCGGGCCAGGCCGCGTTCTTTTCGCTGGACAAAGGCGAAGGCAACACAAACAAAGCACAGCAGAACTATGTCGAATGGACCAAGCCTAAGGCCAATCCATTGAATTTCATTGATATCCATTGGTACTCAAATTGGGAAAGCTTGACAGTGGGAGAACAATCATTCACGGTGCGCGTATGCGCCCGAATGTGCTGGGCCTGCCCCAAGAGCCAGATCAACAATGCTCTGCACTCAGCAACCCTACTGATCTCCCTCGCCATTTCTTCACTTTTCTGGTGTCCCCGGTGTCCCCCCTTCAAAGCTCTCGGCTGAGAGTTGTCGGGTGCACCACCTATCTCCACCTCGACAGGCGGATCGCACTCGCGGATGATCCCCATCGTATCTGCCGTCAGCAAGGCCCACTGGTCTCCTCCTCGGCGAGGCGGCCGTAGCCCGTGGATCTCTGGCTCGAGGAACGCACGTCGGGCGAGCTGGATGGGAGAAGGGTTACAGGAAGTCACCGGTCCTCTGTTGAAATGTGAGACTCAAATCCAGAGGTCCTTCTGGGGGTCTTGAAACTCCAACTCTTGCAGAAGTCATCCTCCTGATTTGAGGGGATTTGTGGGTTTGCCTACAAAACACGAAGAACCGGCAGCCGGGACGAAGAACTCATTGCTCACCCCTGAAAACGGAGGACCAGTCCATCCCGTCTGGGCAGCACACGCACCTGTGCCACCTTGCTGCAGAGTTGGGGCCTGACGCGCCGTGTTGCCCCGATTCGTCTCAAAGAAAGAGAACTGCCTTATAGTGCCTTCATCATCGGATGTATTCACAAGATTTCACAAGCCGGGGGAGTCTTAGCTCATCTTCTTATTCCGCTTTTTTCTTCTTGCAAAGTCAACTATGGCCTTTTCGTGTCATCCATAGTTCCAGTGTAGCCACCGGTACCTCAGCAATGTCTGGGCGACTGCGCTGCTGACAGCATTGATCGAAAGATTGCCGGTAAGACAAAAACATCTCGCCGGGGTGCTCATCAACACGAAGTTGATAGATCCAACGCTACACTTTTACAAATCGATTGTAATCGTTGGGCAAATCGCTACTAGGGTGGAGGCAACTCATCGACTCATCACCTCATTCCTCGTCGAGTCACCGCTTCCGACCAAATAGCCGATGAGCAGCTCGAAGAGCGGCCTGGCGAATTGTAAGCGACTTAGTCTTGTCTCTTGAAGTGCTTGACTGAATTCTTTCCAATCTTTTTGAATCGTGAAGGCCCAAATAGTGCTTCTGCAAGCTCTGGAGGCACAGGAGCTGCCTAAACCGCTAGCATTGCGAAGTTGTGACTCTATTACTTTGGTATGAATACGTATGACATTTGCTTGATACTTGGTATGGAATGGTATGGATGGATTTGTCTTCGCTAAATGTCCATTGACGCATATTGCCACATGTTCCAAATGGCGCACCAGCTTCAATCTATCGCCTCCGCTGAGAATTCGCATCGTAAATCCGCACTTTGCCATCAGTCGTGGTACACCTGACGGCGACTGACGTCGGTGAAGCATGTAGATCGACAGCGAATGTCGACAACAGCACGATTGATGCAAATTCAGTCTCCGGCGTGATCAAAGATCTTGACGGGCACATCTTTGTTGCCCATCCGAGCGTGCTCACTTTGACCTCTCCAAACAAAGTGCTGAGTTCCTCTCAAAAATGAATTCGCTGGGGGAAGCAACATGTTGAGTAGCAGCTATCACTAGTCTCAACATGGCACACAGGGTTCTTAAAACAACGAGCAACAAACTCATCGTAACTGGTGAAGGGTTCCCGCAATAGCGCGCGGCAAATCTGACATACATGCTACACACCCTTGAACGCAAAAATCCACAACGGCTTGAAGCATCAGCAGTCTACATCTGGCGCACCGGCACACGAAGGCACAGTGAGTCCCTGCGAAGCTTTATGCTCGCAGAGCGCGCTTTATCCCTCTGTCACTACGCAAAAGCTATTGACATCACAGTAAAAATCAAACAAACTGTCTCACAGTGGCGCTTTTGCAGTGGTCTCAACAACGGGGATGTCTTGCGTAGTTGCCGATCGTCCTCTTCGAACTTTGAAAACACTCCAGTTGCATCAAAGCTACTCTCTGACATTCTTGGCGGTCCAAACAACCTCTGTGGCGATGCGTGATTGTCAAGGTTTCAGATGGGAGACTAACAAGTTAAGTTAAGATACAAATTATATGAGCAGTTTTCAACATTTAAAATCGTATTGGGTGTTGTCACACAAAGTGTGGACGTCCTGTGTAAAAAGTAAATGATAATGACTGTATTTTTGAAGACTTGAAGTATATGATCAAAAATTTTCATGTTCTAACATGTTCTAACTTGTTTGTGTGACTCTGTGACAATCTCGCTTTGAGAATATTCCTGGTCCAAATTGATATTAATTCCCCACAATGACAGCTGCAGCTTCAATCATTCAAGCTTTCTGGAAGGGCAACCCAGCCTCCTTTCTTTCGAGATCGTAGATCTTGACATCCTCAGCTCAAGGGACTTGCAATCAGCCGTTTTGTTGCTTCCCGGGATCTTTCAGCTCGGTGGCATGGTGGAAGATTAAACACTGATTGATGCTCATGTCATGACCTCTATGAAATTGTTTAACCTGGTTTGATGGCTCAAATACCAACCTGCTTTGACCCTTCACTCTCATACAGCCCTCAAAACGATGAGCGGCATTTTCCAAGCCACCAAATGCGAACCGCGATGGCCTGAGATTCGACGCACAGCGGGCATTCATGTCATGTCTTGTGAACTCGGGTTGGAATGGCCCGTTCAATATGTCCCCTGAATTGATCCATATTCTCACCGCATCGAATGGACCCCCATGCCATATCCCCTATCCATAGCCTCTTTTGATGCTTCCATGTTTGGTTGTAAAGGACCTCCAAGAACAACCTCATCCACACCCTCCGAAACCCCACATTTTTGAAAGACACTTCGCAGCGCATGTTGCGCCTGCTTGGATCAACGGCAGCATGTGCCACGGGCGCCTGGGCGCTTTGGGGTTTGCCAATATCGTCTTCATCATCTGTATGCCGTAGCCCTGTCTCGCATGCTCGTGCATCGCAAAGCAGTGTGTCCAATGTTTGCTGAACGGAAGACCGTCTCTGTGTTGACAAGCAAGTTTTAGTAATATAGCTCCCCAGCGGAGCCTCCGAGACAAACTTTCCCGAAAAACACCTACTGAAATCCGATGACTTGTCATTAATCATTAATCAAACATGAGACATGCAGCCCTCATCGGCCCTCCACTCGGGACTGGGGAGAGCCTCTCTCGCATGGAAGTGCATGTGGTAATGCAGCCTTAAAACGCAGGATAGAACGGATAGAACCTCCGTTTTACGCAGGACCCCTCCTGCATGCAACCCCCACGGGCCCCGCGCTAGTGCCTGCAACTGAAATTGCTCCAGGGTTGCCTCAGCGCTTCCACTATAGGATTGCTCCGAGAAGGAACTCTCCTGCACGTGAAGGACGATGATTTTGGCCAAAACAACACCCTACCAGCTAAAAGTGTTGTTGTTGGTGATTTCCTGATCGTGGGCTTAGATCCAGGATCCACAATCGCCGAATCGAACAATCTGAGCCATGCAAAATGAACAATCTGAGTTCATGACATCACATGCTTGAATTAACACTTCTATAATGAAAAGAACCAGATGAAAACCATGGGCCTGCAATTCTTTTTGTTGAGAACTACGATGATTTGGATGATGTGCTGATGTGCAGTGGACATGTGCGTCATATACATATAACTATATATGCAGTACTGTAGTACTGTATCTCAAGTCTCAACCAAACTTTGTCCACCCACTCTGCAAAACTAATACGGAACACCAAATCATTGCCTTGTTTTGCGGGCAAATCGTATTTGATGGTCAGGTCTAGTCTACCTCTTCGGTTTTACGTTCTCCCTCACAAGCGCGCTCTTCAACCCAGCATTTTGCACGCAAGTATGCTTCAAAGCGAGCATCGTTCAGTACACATCTTGGCGAGACACTTGAAAAAAAAAACAAAAAGAACGAAAGGCAATTGGCGATCTCCGCGTTGGCTGAAATCCAACCCAAAACGGACATATACAGCAACCGTCCAGCCGGTTTCAAGATCTGCAGAACTCTAACTTCAACATGAAACAACGGGAAGACACACACACACACTTACACAATGGGTGTGCAGTTAACTCTGTTCCTCAGTGAAGTGAACGATGGAACCGCAAGGTGGTAAAGTCAGCTCATTTGGATAGTTTAACAAAGTGTTCACTTGTCTGCAGTCGCGCGGCAGCTGAAAGCGGCGGAAGGAAAATGGTTTGGGGGAAGTATCGTGCAAGAACCATGACACAATGAACCAAGAAAAGGGAGAAGTAGAGTCACGGCGTTGACAAAAGTTTAAAAGTTGCAGGTACACGGAAGTCATCAGCTTCCGCTTCCTAGGATCTTGCAAGGAGCTTCGTTGGGCAGAGCCTTGCAAGTCCTCTCTGCCCCCCTGCAACTCATGTGTGACGAGCAAAACTCTTAGAAACAGAGTGTGAAACACACACACACACTCTCGCCCGCTTTGCGGCGCTCGCGCGCAAAAACCTGAATAGGCACCTAAAAAGCCTTAGAAGCGAAAGAAAGAAAGACAGAAAGAGCAGCGCTAGAAGGGCAGGCGAGAAACATAGGGGTAGAAACACGTGACTACTTAGCCCTTGACTGGGGTAGGGAAACGAGCCTCAAGAACCACCTAAAGAGCCTGAGAGAAAGCCCAAGAAAAAAGACGAAAGACGTAAGAAAGAAAGTGGGGGGCAGGGAGGGGATGTATGTACATGTGTGTGTGTGTGTGTGTGTGTGTCCGTGTGTGTGTTTGAATACCTAGCACTCTAGAGATCTCTAGAGTTACTGATTGAATACTTAGTGGAAGTTAGTTAGGTGTAATAGTTACTTTAGTCTTAAACCGCCCGGGTAGAGTAGACTAGAACAGGGACAACAAAGGGAAAGGCAGCGACACACAAGTGTGTCGAGTACCATTTCCCTCTGTTACCCTAATTAGAGGGGGGGTTAGAGAACTCGGCGGGGGTTTATTCTCCGTATGCCCGGCGGCTTCGAATCTCCGTAAAACCCGGCGGTGTTGTCAGGAAATTCAGTGGGTGAGAAGAACATCAGAAAAGATAATCCAACGTGTGCAGGAAACAGCAGATTCAGTTAGATGGTACTCCGGAATGATCTCGGCGCCCCAGTGACGGGGATCACACTCTGCACACAGTGGGACGACAGAGCGGCGCACACTTAGACAACTGGTTTGCAGTTAACTCTGTTCCTCAGTGAAGTGAACGATGGAACCGCAAGGTGGCAAAGTCAGCTCATTTGGATAGTTTAACAAAGTGTTCACTTGTCTGCAGTCGCGCGGCAGCTGAAAGCGGCGGAAGGAAAATGTTTTGGGGGAAGTGTCGTGCAAGAACCATGAACCAAGAAAAGGGAGAAGTAGAGTCACGGCGTTGACAAAAGTTCAAAAGTTGCATGTACACGGAAGTCATCAGCTTCCACTTCCTAGGATCTTGCAAGGAGCTTCGTTGGGCAGAGCCTTGCCAGTCCTCTCTGCCCCCCTGCAACTCATGTGTGACGAGCAAAACTCTTAGAAACAGAGTGTGACACACACACACACCAAAAAAAAAGGATTAGTGTACAACGCGGGTATGTATTTATGAAATTTACTGTATGGTAGGTGGGTTACGGTGGGTTTGTAGTTTCCAACCTTCAGTCTATTGTAGTCTGGTTGCTAAGCAAGTACACCCGGGAAGACTAACATGGACCCTGAAAACCAGTGGTTGGTAGAGGAAAACACTCTTCTACGGGGCCATTGTCAGGGTCTATGTTAGTTTTCGGGAGTGTAAACAGTGACGACAGTGACTCGGCCATCATGAGTCTGTCTCTGCTCCTTGCCCCACGCAGCAACAAGGCTGGCGGTCCCATCGCTGGAGACAGTCAAGAGACCGGCATCAGAGGCCTCACACGGTCGCAAAATGACGCAACATCCCCATGATTATGGGTCTCCCATTCTCCATGCACAGGTCCATGTGCCACATCCATTTTGTCAAGGGGCCTAGGGCGCCTGGATGGTCCTTCAGTCCCTTTCGGGGACTGGTTACGTTTCGTTTCGGGGGAAAGCAATAACACCTTGCAGCAAACACTGAAACAAATAGACATGACCTTGAAAAAGGTGTGAACCTCTTTGCTGATACTGCAGTATGAAGCCATGTGAGTTTACATGACTTGATCAAGCAACTGCCAGTATCCCTTACAATCCACGCAAAGGTAGTTCATCCCGGGGGCAATACGCATGAAAGAAGTAAGCTCCTCTCCAAATGCTTGATTTAACAGCTGACCAGTTGCTATGTCTCAGAACAGCCAGCCGGCCCCCCAGAAACTAGCAAGAAACACTAGAAACTAGAACCCATTGATTTGGGATCTCCCATTCAAAGCCACATCCATGACCAAAGGTCCATGTGCCACGACTTTCAGCAAGCCCTGGCCTGCAAGCACCTTACATCCGGGGCAGTTGAGGCGTTGCTCACCACACGCCCTGCCGAAGCGCCATCGTTGTGCATGGAATCGACATCGTATGACCCTGGCCCCTTCGGATTAAATCTACTTGCCCTTTGCTTGTTCCTCATGCGGATAAGATCTTCTCTGGAGAATGCCACTGCAAATCACTGCGACTATGGGACCCAGCTCCGTGGTTGACCCACCAACATGAACAAACTCCGCCTGATCCCAGGGACTGCAGGGTAGGTTGGGTCATACACACAACAACTAAGTTATTCACAGGCAGCCAAGCAGTCACGCGTCGGCTAGGAAGCTGGTGGCACATGTCGTGCTGCCAGGTAAGAGGCTAAGTATGTACCAAAAACAACATATTAAACAAGAAGTTTGGAAATGTGTTGGACTCATCCTCCGGTTGGGGTTCTTGCATTCATGCTTGCTTCATGGTTGATTGACTGCGCGCGGTCGCCGGTCGTTCGCCGTTCGCCGTCGCCTGCGGCATCCCTCAGCTCCAAAGCGCCGGAGGCATAGGCCACGGCCACAGCATCCTCCCCCCGCTCGACAGGGTTGATGGGTTATTAACAGTCACTCAGCGGAATATTCCTTTAAGATCCTTTAAGAATCATTCAGTCTTTAAGAACCCATAACAAGCCTATGTTCATTATGTTCATTTCGTATGCCAAGTCCTAGGTGGCTTTGGTGCCTCACCAGCGCCTCTATTTTTTCCAGGGTGAAATCGGAGCGCTGAAGCAACATGTGGTGCAGCAAAGGTCACGACAGGGTGGGTTGCCTAATGCCAGGTGGACAAGAAATTACGTTGAGATCCAGTTGAACAACCTGGCTTGGACTCCTAGTGTTAACTGTTGATTCATCAAAGCCTCAGGTCTCCAGACAGGTTAGACCCATCTCCATCAATCAACGGCCAAAAAACAGTAATTAAACATGCTAGACCCAATTCAGCCTTGTGGCAGGTTGCTTCTTGAGTGCGAAAGTCAAACGACCTTCTTCGAGGCTGGAGGATGGCATGATCCCTGATCTCCCAGTGGTGGGAAAAAGGGACTCCAGAAGGACAAAGCTGACCTTTGGTACTCATTTCACTGAATGGTCTGTGTTTGGCTTGCTTCCTTTAAAGCATGTTAAAACCATTAGTTGGTTTGCCATGTGCCATTGAATGGACACACGAAACACGGCCAGCCCCACTCCCTTTGCGACTCACGGCTCGGAGACTCTCCACCTCTGAGTAGTTTGGCCCAGCCCAGCAAAGTCGCTGCACCGCTTCGCCCCTTCGGCGATCGCCCAAGCGTTCCACCTGCCCGTTGAAAGGCGAAGAGAGGCGAAACGGACTCAGCGTTTGAGAGGTTCACATGGAGTCTCAAACGTACCTGTTGGACAACGAACAAACATCCAGTTGTAAAGGAAACAAACGACTACAAGCAAATGCACAAACAAAACAATACACACTATGACAAAAAACAATACACACTATGTGTTCTAGCTGAGAAATGTTTAGTTTTTTCTTCTGGGTGGACTGTCAATTGACTTTGGGAGTTGCCTCGTAGTATTTTGGGTTTAACGTCAGATTATGTTAAACTATTAATGGTGTGTGTGTGTGTTGACATTATGTATTTGACTGACAATTCTCTCATTTAGTTGTGTTTAGAACAGTTCTGTGGACTAAGCGCCCTTTTGCAAAATTTCAAGGGTGCAAGTATGGCAGTCCTCAGAAGCGGTTGAGGGGGTTGAGCTCCACAGGAATTTAAATGCTCATGCACCAGCATGCCAGCATGTCCAAAGTATTTTACACTAAAGCTCTGATCTCTTTTCTTATGCACTGGAAAAAGTCACTGGCACGCATGATCAATCAATGGCGAAAACACACTACATACCCCTTGCACCTAGATGATCTAGAAGTCAAAATACATTCCTCCTTCAGGGTGAGTATAAAAACGAGATAAATAGAATCTTCTGAAAGTTTCCCAAAACCATTTCACCAACACTTTGGGACCCAGAAAAAGGTCTTTCTGTGACTTCCTGCGACGACTTCTGTCGCTCAGGAAACTCGGCGATGAGTTGGGGAGGAAGCGCCTTCTGCTTCTCCACGTGAATGACTTTGATGAGGCCAGTGTCATCGCCGGTGAGGAATTTCATGACGTCATACGGTGCCCCCAAAGCCAAAAAAGAATGGGAATGCCCCGGAATGCCCCTAAGGCAACAACAAGTGGCTAGTCCTTTAAAGTGTGTCAAAAAGAGTTCTTGTCTAACCACACAACAACAGCCATTCCCCTCTCATGTCCTTGTCTAACTGAAATCTTGGCCGGGTCTCGACAGAATGTCCGTTCTTGGCAGGACTCTAACGCGGATTTACAGGAGATGTTCACCCTTCCAAGTTTGCTTTGGACCAATCAAACTCCTGGATGTCTGCGTTCTGGTTGCGTGGGTCGCGAGTCTCAAGTAGCACGGAAACTTTGAGAGCGGAAAGTCGCTTCAAAGGGTTTCTTGAACCGAAGTGCTACACATGGGACACCATTCTGCATGTGAAAACGTACTGGCCTGACCCTTTGGAAGATCAGTATGCTTTCGACTGCCCGCTACCCATTCTTCCCCACTACTTGGTCTTGAACTGGTTTCCTAGTTCCCCAGAAGTTGAAACATCTGAAAAGATTGAAGGAGTTGGGACTTGAATGGTGATGGTCCATCTGAATTCCAGTAATATGTGGCCAACTTGAAATTGTTTTACTCTATGAATTTCATTGAATTTCTGTATGGTTATACAGTAATACTTTTTATATAATGATGCTAGTAACTGTACATTAGATCCTTTGTGACCATCAATACAGTAGTACTTACAGTCGCATATTTTGCCATGGCCTTTCAAATCAGAGTGGCAAAGGAGGATGTGAATGCAATACAAAGAATGCTGAAGGAAATCAGGATAATCATGGCCTGTGCATGGCCCACAACACATTTTAGGGAACACACACATGTCTACCTGTCCAGTTCTGTAGCAGTCCCCCTGCTCGGACATGTTTAACGCATGCGTGCGCAATTGGCACGCTGGTCGTCCGAGCGAAACTGTTTCGCTCCATCAACTCCAACAGGTTTTGGCAAAAAAACAGCGCTAAACCTATAGGGTTGAGACAAGCGTGCATCCCACGCATTCTTTTTATTCACACGAGGCAGCAAAAAGAACAAGCAAAAGGGCCGCACCGGTCTGCTTACTAAGCATGTCAAGGCGTTGGATACACTGACTTCAAATTGGGCTGTCCTGTTTGGCTCTTAAATGCCAAAGGCGAAGACCACATTATCCTGTACGCTTTCAAACGAGGGGAATGTCTGGCCAAGTGCGCAGTACATGCCCAGCAAACGCTCAATCTGCCAGCCTTAAACACGAAAGCAGGTCTATTCAGGCAAAAACATGTTTTCGAGGTGTGTTCCTCTTTTTTCTCTCCAAAGGTGACAGAGGTGTGTAAAACCGTTTCTGTGTTGATTCATCGGCGGCAACCAAATGCAACCACCTTGATTGACTCACACATTCAGATCATCTGACTTCTCACATATCTTGTGGTTGTTGCCGAAAACTGATAGACCTCAATAAACCCTGGTGGCAAAAAAAACACAATCATGTGACCATGTGGCCAACCGCAATTCCAAGAAAGAAAACACATCCACACATCCATCCACCGTTTCTGTCCACGTTACGCATGACTTGAAGTAATTACATGCCCACTGTGGCTGCGTTTAGTGCCTTCTCGCACCGATGGGCAAAGACCCCGGAGAAATTGCGAAAAAACGGAGAACGGCACAATCAATCTGACAGGTGATTATCTCCATGCAATGCAATAGTTCACATTTGTTGTTTGTCCTCGCATAAAATTCAAACTGGGAGGTCTTTTTGCATGTTGTTTCTGAATGCGTTGGGCCAGCTTTTGGATGCTTTTGGTCCCTCCTTTCTCCACAGAGTCGCTCGACCACATCCACAGCCGCATGCATGCCGGGGCACATGGTCTTCAACGGTTCGGCGACCTGAAAGTCGAAGCCTGTGGCCTCCCTGACCGCGTCCACAGTGGTATCTGCCAAAAACGGGCGCCGGTGCCGGTACCCCGGTCCGGCAGATACCGCCGAAAACATATCGAGTGTATCCGGGTGTGGGGTGCAAGGAGGATAGATCAGAAAATCCAAAACGTCAAAGATTCGCAAAAAGGCGGATCTCCACCAAAGGGGGTTGCGCCATCGTGAACCAAAATGGTTCTGGAGACACATGCTGGGAAACTCGCACTTGCTAAGACACATTAAAAGGTCTAGAATGACCTAAAGAAAAAGGTCTACAACGCCCATCGACCTTGTCTACTCAGGACCCTGGGGCCCTCCCATTCTAGACCCTTAGTAGTTGGGGGTATAAGATGGTATAAGCATTCCGCCTACCCCGGCCTAGCCAACGCCAAGACGGGGCCTCGCTCTTATGTCATGTCAGTGCCTTGTATCTGTCCTCGAGGAGCTGCAAGACTAAGACTTCATTTGTCATTGTTTAGCTGGCGACTTGTGCAATACTTTCGACATGCTAGCGTGGGGGAAAGGTTGCTGTAAAGGACAACCCGGCCTCGTACTACGCGCTGTTGACAGATTTTCAAAGCAATGGGTCTTTTTATTAACAGAAATGACTGTTTCACTACGTGCAATCAGATGGGTTCTACCGAACCATCGAGCTTGCACTTACTTGTTGCAAGGATGCTGCTCTGCGCCCTAGACTTTCCTAAATGGCTCTTACACATGGTGTACACGATGAATGCTACTTGAACGTCTGGCAGAAGCCTCTGTCAGGTAGGCATGACCGTCTGTTGCGGGTGGCCCAGGGTAGTCCATGAGCCGCCCACATGTGGCTGTGGGTCAAAATTCGGGGATGGATCGTTCCGCGGTGATCCGGACGCAGGGTATGTGGTTCTTGGGACCCAACCACTAAACATTGCAGTTCATCCATTGATTGTCCCCCTGCTCTGGTGGCCTTGGGTTTGCTCTCAAGTTCAAAGCACATTCATAAAGAACCAATCATAGAAGAAAACACATTTTGAGGGCAATTGTTACCACTTTAGATCACTTTAGGCCAGCATCGGCTACGCATTGTTATTGAAGGGTTGGGTTATGTCACATCAGTGCGTGTGAAGTAGCATCACTGCATGGCCACGCGTGGAAGCGTGAAGTCACATCAGCACGTGTGAAGTCACATCATGTTGTCTCAATCACCATGGCCACGCGTTCACAACCTATGTTTGGAGATTGACTTGTTTGGAGCCCACGCCTGTAAATTTACATGGTTTTCACTTTGGAATATACAAAAATGGACTACTGATCAGAGTTGCATCCCAATGCCCACGCGGTTTGGAAGATGAGGTTGTATGGTGCCAGGGATCTGGTGTTGGCGACAAAGCGCAAGAACTAGACTCAGAAACTCTGACCCTCAGGAGATCCATGGGGGTTAGACGTCGAACTTGTCAGAGACGCTTGGTCTCGTGCTTGCTGGCGGCTCAGTTTTCTCCGTTTCACCTCACAGGCTTTGCAAAACTTGCCGCTGCCATTGGCTCTCCATGCCACTTGAGAACGAGGAAGGCCGCAAGATCGACATGTCGGGTCCAACTCTTTGGTCCGCACACCACATGGATTTCTGTTGTGGTTCACCTTTGTCCGACGTGCGACAGGCTTCTTTTCCGGCTGCGACCTCGAACAGCTGAAGCCAACGTTCGCACAGAGCGCGCACCAGCAGCCCGACATAATGCCCTCATGTCTCAGCGCTTCTGGGTCCACTCTTTTGTGCGCTGCTTGAGCACGTCCTTGCTGGCCACCATCGCTCAAGTGACTAGACACACAGAGACACTCAGGCGCCCAGAGCTTTGAGCAGAACTGGAGCACCAGTTCGGTGAGGCAAGCGCTGCACACAAAGCAATGAAGTGTTCGAGCGAGCGAGAACAGTTGGAACAAATCTGCTCCTACCAGAGCTTCGCATCCTCCTTCTGCAAGCATGGGCGCAGACTCAGCGGCGAAAAAGGCCATGTCATGTGCGACAGCAATTGTCTTGAAGAGGTTAAGAAGATCACTGGCAAAGCAAATGAGAACCCAGCGCTACTAAATGGCTCACAAGATTCCCCTTTCACCGGAGTGACTGGTACCTCAAATTCATCCAGCCCCAATGTGCGTCAGCAATTGCTTGCAATGGAGCTGAAAAACCGGCGCTACTAGATGGCTCAGATTCCCCTGTCACAGGAGCCACCAGTACCTGGAATTCATCTGGCTTGAACATGTCTCGAAACAAAGAGGCAAAGCCATTGGGAGCCTGACGCTATTGCATGGCTTGGAAATTTCCCTTTGTCAGAAGCCACCGGCACCTCAAAGTCATCTGCAGGAGATGGCTGTTCCCCGACAACAAAACTGACAACGTCTGACTTTGAGAAGCTCACACTCAACTCCTTTCCAGAAGTTGTCTCCATCCACTGCGCCTGCGCGCCAAAAGAAATGCGGACACGTTTGATAACAGTCAACAGTCATTTGTCACAACGTCCTTCCATGTTTCTCCCTCACCTGTCCATTTTCCATGTGCTTTCTCAACGAAGAAACAGCACATAGAAAATTGACCTGTCTGCCTGGCGTCATATCGTGTCATCACTTGTGCCTTCGTCGGTGGCTCTAGCAAACCCTTACTTTGCGCATAACGTTGCGCTTCACGAAAGGACCGCAAAGGTTTGGAACTATCAGGCGGAGCCCAATACCCTCAGGCGAATCGATCGTAAAACAACAGCTCTTGACCGGACTGCGAACACACATCAAGCAAAATCGAAAACTCTTGCAAAAATAGAAAAGCTCATTCAAACCTGGCAGGCTGCAATCCACTGTCCACTGTTCCTATCGTTTTTCCAGTGGATCTCATTGTCGAGAACAAGGTCCATTCTGCCACAGCTTGTGCAGCCATGTCCCCCACACGGCTCTGGCGCTGTGGTCTAAGTAGAAAAGAAAAGGCATCAACAAGCTTTTGGTTGACATCGTAGGAAGTTAGTTTCAGGTATGCCTGAGCTTGCCTGATCATTCTGGTGATGGCGCAGTCTTGGTCATTGATTTGGTTTTGCAGTTGCGCATGTAATGCGTTCTCTGAGAACTCCTTTGTGTGCCTGTCTGTCTCGACAAAGTAGCTGCGCTAATGCGATTCGGAAATGCAGGTGCCAATGCAGAAGTCTTTGCCCAAAACAGTTCATGTCAGAGATAGTGACCTTGGAACAAATTACACTCAAAGCTAATTCCCCATGTCACAGCTGAAATGCTGCCTGGGATTCAGTAAATGCCCACATGTGGTCTTGTGGAAACAGCCGCGCCAATGCGCTTTGTGGGACAACAGGTGAATGTCATACATACTTAAGTTGAACCAGGGTTACACCTACAACCCAGTTCCCCAAGGCCACGCCGTCACGATGCGACTTTACACATGTTGATGCGACTTAAGTCTACCCCCGAGTACCACTATAGATCCTCAACAACGGTAAACTCTCGCAAAATCCATTACAAAACAATCGTTAAAGTATGTTTTCTAAACATATTGTAACTATCTTGCATTTGTGCGCCTTGGACACACAACCACATTGGTCCATTGATCCAACACCGGTGGAGCCATGGCACCATGGCACCAGCCATGGCACCATGGGACGACTGTCCAAATCGGTGCCTGGAGCGATCTCCATTAGTGTGGGAGGCGCCTGGAGCGCTCAACCGGTGTCTAGCGAAGAAGCATAGAACCTCTGGCCCCACTTCCAACTGTGATATCTTCACCGGCAGGATCTTCGGACTCTTTTTGGGATTGGCCTACGACCGATGATCAAGCTTATTGGTTTGTAGGTGGATGATGCTTCCAGTTCCTATATATGGCACAACACTGCACTCGCCTGAATTTCAGCGTTTTTGCTTAGGTACAAAATGGATCAAAATGGTACAGTACATGCTTACATTGGGTACATTGCGGAAAGAATTCTCCAGATAGTTGCTAGGATTGGGGATGTTCTCCGAGTTTGCCATGAATCATCGAAACGCTACCCAAGGATCCTGCATCAAGGCCGTGAAATGTGTATATAATAGAGAGATCAATAATAATAGTAATTGACTAGACTATATATACCAGAGCGGTACATGCTTGGGCCGAGGGTACATAGCAAAAACACGTCTGATTGGGTGGTGAGAAAGGCTATTGCATGGACCACATGCACAAAAATGCATGGTCCTGGCCCCGGCATAAAATGGATTCTCCTGGACATCTCTTTGAAAGGGAGAGGATCTCCTAAACCAATCGAGATCCATTGAGATCCATTCATCCACTGAGCACGACCCGAGGGTTGGAATTCCACCTCGGCCCCCTCGGTGACAAAGTCAAAGACGGCCATGTCGGTGATACATCGGTCGACGACCTTCGAGCTGCCGTGATGAGCGGAAGGAAGGGGGGTGCACGGACCACAACACTGGCTTGGCCCATATAATTCGACACCCAATCACCCAGCCGGATTAATACATGTACTGTCAAATTTAGAAACTCTTAGGACAGCCTAAATAAAGTTCATCCCAGGTTCCAAGAAATAATTATACAATAAACTCTTTTCCTCTTTCTTCGCGCCATAGGCTCTTGCCCGCGACTGGTGGCGTGCACCTAATTAAAAATCATCCATGGAAATCGGGCCCCATTGACGCGGTCTCATCGAAACTCCGCGTCAACTCCCTAACTGCCTGAAGAAATTCCTTCGGAATTTCTTGGCACGGGGCATCTCCGTGGCCTTTTTGGCCTTCCAGGATCACACGACAAATGGCTTTGCAAAAATCAGCTGGGTACTGCTTAAGCTCAGAAGTGCGCCAACTGCCATCTACGTGCCGTCCAATGGCTGCATACTTCGGAAGTGCAGTTGTCCGCAGCGAGTGTAACAAAGCGTCATTGTCGGTCGCACCATTTGCAATCAGGAGGAAGCCTTCCCACCGTAGTGCCCTTGCATAACGGTAACTTTCTGACAGTTGCGAAAGCGGCATAGATATCGAGTAATCTCAAGTCGCCAGATGCTTGGGCTATTCTGGTGAGTGTCCCCATCAGCTGGGTGCTCAAGCACACCTGTTGCACCACAAAGCAAAGAAAGGAGCATCAACCGGAACGAAATGCCCAACAGCATACTACCAACTGTCACTTGTCTGTGTTCCTTGTACGTGAGGTTATGCAAGCCATATGGAAACCCTCGGCGTCTCACTGGGCGGGGTCCGCCCTGCACGTGGTTCTCTCGTGCACGAGACCACGTTTCACAGGGGGGTCCCGCCACCCATGCTCTCAGGATTCCAAGGCGCAGTGCCTCAGTAAAAAAGTGGAATGTGGTGGGGTTGTTGAGGTCTCCCCATTCACGGTCGAAAATGATGTCGATGGACAGTGCCATCCATGCATGCTCTTCCATGACATGTTGGATGTCAAAAGGCCTCCGTGTGCCTGAAAAGAGATGCGCCATGACCTTGGGACGATAGGCCATGCGTGCTGGGACATCATATCGAATTTCATCTAATTGATCAGATTGTCGTTGGAAAAACTCCATCGCTGTGTCTTCCTTGCGCATGCAAGACTTTAGACCTGTCAGGAACCATTCACTGCTAGCCGAGGAAGTGAAAACACGAAAAACCATAAGATCGTGGAGTGTCGCATCTTCTGCTTCAGCCATACAGCTTTGGCTCCATTCAGCAAAAAGGGCCAGGATCTCTTTGTGGTAGAGACATGTGCTCAGGGTGGCCTGCCTTAAACATTCCACAAGGGCTCCCGTCCCTCGATGACTCGAAAAGGCAGCCTGCCACTTCTCAAGCAATTCATCTTGCCACTGTTGAATCTGTGTCACAATGACTGCAATTGGCCCATCAGGAATTCTGGGTCCTTCAGCTTGCATACAAGGATCTGGCAGCTCTGGGCAGCTGGCGTTCTCAGCGGCACTATTCACGCCAGGTTGCCGAGTCACAAAAGCTCCACGGGCAGTGTAGAAAGCCAAACAATCATGACCTCGGTTTACGTGATTGAGAAGCCCAGTATGCCGTGAAAACACTTTTAGACATGCTTCACATGTGGTGCCAGTTACGAAATCTCGTGCTGGAGTAGCACGGTCGTGCTTTTTAAAGGCATGTACTGCGCATGCGGCTGCTCCCGAGAAGGTTCGGCGGCAGGCCAAACAGTAGTGGTCTTCAGCAAGAGAAGCAACTTCCTGGCCAGTGATCAGGCCAGCTTGCAGGATGTCCTGATAGATCACGCTGTGCCATCCATACCATTCAAATCTTCTCGAGGCAAATGCTTTGCATCTCGCAATGGCTCTGCGGATTGCTGCTTTCCATCGCTTTCCTGCAGTTTGCAGGCATTCACAGAAATCGGACCATTCTGATCTAAAATCAGGAAGTTCGAACTCTGGGCAATACATCTGCATCCATGCCAGATCGTCTTCAACCAGTGTCCATCAACTATGTTCCGTGTTGATGAGGGACCAAGTATGGTCCTCGCCATGCTGGATCAGGTGGCAAAGATATCGCAATCTTGCGACCCGTAGAGTCTCACACGCTGGCAGAAGCTGGAAATCGTGGATAATGCGGTCGAGAGGCCATTCAATCGCTTTTTTCCCATAGTGCATCACAGCCAGACGCTTGAACAGGCGTGCAAACCCTGCATCAAGTTGCTTCATTTGTCTTTTGGTTGGCGGTTGCCAAATAGCACAGTTGAAAACGATGGTTGACAACACCAGCGACTCAAAAAACTGGCGTTTCCTCTCGACTGTCATAGCCCGGTTGCAAAAGATCTGTGACCGGTACTGTGTCATAATGTTGTGCGCAGCAGCAAATTTGGTTCGGAGCTCTTTTCGCATCCCACATTTGACTTCAAGCCATGAACCCAGGTGTTTATATGTGCCCACAACACGGAGTGGCCCCTCCACGTAGCTGGATGTGGTGGGGATTGCATAGTCCTGGTGGGCTATCGCCTTGCGTTGCACCGTGGATCCACTTCCTCTACAGTCAAGGATGATCTCTGACTTGCCCTTAGAAAGATTCGGCATAAGGCCAGCCACTGCTAGTCGGTCAAAAACAAGCCCCGCAATACGGCCAGCCATTGTGACAAGGGACTCAGCCGTCGCAGCACTAAACGATATTGCAACATCATCCGCCCAAATCGGTGCTAGTAGACCCATCCGTTCAGACTTGCTTTCATGTGCATAGGGGTTAGTTTCTGACAGCAGCTCGACCGTCACCTCTGGGTAATCCGTCTCGATGGTAGTGAAGACAGGTCGGAGGATTCTGTTAAGCGCAAAGCCAAAGGTCAAATCAGCGAACGTGTCGCCAGGGCGTGAGCCTCGTCGGCTCTGAGTCAATGTTGTTGAACCATTGACTCTGAACCATGTGGCTTCGTAAAATGACTGGAACATCGCTTTGACAAAGGCCGGTGCGTCAGAGTTCTGGATCGCAGGTCCTGGGTTCATCATCTCTTCAAACTCATCATATGCAGCTGGCGGCAGTCCAAGGCTTTGGAAGAGCTCTGGGACCGTCCTAGTGTCAAGTTCTGCAGCTACCATGTGTCGTCGAAGGAGACGATAGAATGCATTACTGACGTCAATGAAGAGTATTCCAGAACTTCGTGTTCGCTTTGCCGCAACCTGATGGTATAGTCGGATGACATGGGCAGCTTGGGTTATAGAGAAACCTGGAATTCCCCCAATCTGCATCGGGAGCCTCACGGTCTTGAACTCCTGAACAAGTTCTTTCCGAAAAACGCCATGTAGAGCCTTGCTGATTGGGGAGCTCACAAAAAGACTCCGATAGTTCCAGCAGTCCGCTACTCTACCCTTTTTGTGAACAGGTACAAGGGTGCCACCCTTGTATATCATCGCCTCGCGCATGAACATCACCTGTTTCAGCAAGAGTGGGTAGAAAAGTTTTGCAGCAGCAACTGGCGCTCGGTGTAAGAAATCGCCAGGCACCCCGTCTTCAAAGAATGCCTTGGCGACCTTTGTGGAGCGGAATTGATGCTCAATCTGCCAAAAACTGGGTAGATCATCCCATTCAGGTCTCAGCTTCGGGATTTGTGCCAGGGAATCACATAGTGCCATAAGCTGAGTTGGTGTCTGATCTATCCCATCTTCTTGCTGAGCAAAAAATGTTCTCCATCGCTCTGCAAGTTTGTCAGTCTCGAAGATTGGTTCACCCAATTCGTCTTCCACAATAGGCAACGGCTGGAAGGGGCCTGGTTTCTTCCTACTCCTCACTCCAGAGTTGCGCATAGCCTGGTAGAAGTCACTTTGCGACATCTGTGGTGCATCTTTTGCGATCTTCTCCAACCATGCAGTCCTATCTGCTCGTAGGGCTCGTTTGAAGTCCTTTGCCTCTTGGTGGCTCTTGGCTTGCAGAGAAGTGGCCTTTGCCAAATGCCGGATACCTTCCAGAAAAAGCTGTGAAGGAAGCAGGACCCCTTTGTAGCACCACACATGCAGTATTGTGCGAACTGTCAGGGCAGCAATACAATCACGTACTTGCTGCAGTGTTGACCTGGTTTGCATGCGTGCAGCACGCAGTGTCCACGTTTCATCACTGATATAGCTTTTCCTGGGCCCACGTTTACCAGCTGGAAAGGCTTTGGCCAAGCTTTGGGTCACTTGCTCAGAGAGCGTCGTGGCATGTCTTTCAATGTCTTCCTCCCAAGAATGACCTGGAATGTCCCGTAAGGCCGCATCAATTTCAGCGGTGGTAGCTTTTTGCAAAGACCTCCGGTCAAAGCTGCATCTTGGTCTTTTGTGGACGCAGCGGATCTTGGGGAGTAGTATCTTCATCATCAAAGGTCGGTGATCTGTAGCTCGAAGTCCTGTTTCGAGGGAATCAATGACCCATGTCGCAACTTTCACCGGTTGGGGCTCCCGCGGAATCATCAGATAGTCGCATCTTGCCTGGGCCCCATTAGCGTGGCTGATCCAAGTCCATGAGTCCCCTTGGTGTACTCCCTCAAATGTACTCGGAAGATAGCAGTCAATTCGAGCGAGTAATCGAAGGAAACATCGTCCGGCCAGATTCTGGGACTCCTCCACTCCCTCACATCCTACATAAGGCAAGGAGGCGTCACAGAAATGAGCATTAGCATCAACTCCCATGATGTAGTATTGTACCGTGTGTCTGTACTTCTCGATCAGGTCACCGAGCCGTTGCCAGAAAGCTTTGATCCTCGTAGGCTCTGCTCCTGTATGTGGAGCGTGCCCATTGACCAAAAGCACACTGGTTCCTCTATAACATGCCTTCAAGAGGAGGAGCTCTGGTTCAGCTACAAGTGCATGAATCGAACGTCGATCAAAGAGTTGCTCTCCCGAACTTCTCCTTGAACGGAGCAGCCAAGTCTCCACCCCACCATGTCCTTGGTCAGCCGCCGCAGTGGCTC